CCCTGGTCTCCTTCCCTGCTGCGAACTTCCACTCGTTCGTGCCCTCAGCTGCGTCCGCTTTGATCAGCGCCTCCAATGTGGACACCTCCCCTTCCACACGACATGTTCGCTGTTATCACATATCACTCTCCGTCTCGCCATCGCACGCCTATCGCTCCCGACTCCAAGCTCGACCACCACGCCCCATGAATATATGCCCCATCCCACCCTCTCAGCCCGCTTCCCGTCTCCCCGCCCTCGCCCATGCACTTCCTCATCATCGTATTCACGCCTCCTCGTCCCTCTCGTTCTGTATTATCGTTCATACTCTCTCTCTCTCTCTCTCTCTCTCTCTCTCTCTCTCTTTCGTTCTCTCACTCTCTCTCTTGTTCGCCCTCTCTCTCTCTCGCTCTCTGTCTCTCTCTCTCTCTCTCGCTCTCTCTCTCTCTCTCTCTCTCTCTCTCTCTCTCTCCTCTCTCTCTCTCTTATAACTCCAGTCACGTTGCCATCCCGTCCTGCTCCTGCGTCTCACCCCGCCCGCTCCGACATGACGTATCGTCCACCTCTCATTTGTCCCCCCACCCCGCACTTCGCGTTGTTCTCATTCGTATCCTGATCCTCATCCTCCTCCTCCACCTTTCCCTCATCCGCCTCATCGCTCCTCTCGGCCCAACTCCCCGTTGTCGTCGCTATCCTCATCGCATCGGCTGCGTCGGTTATCATCGCGCCGCTGGCGTCGTCGAACTCACCGTCGCCACTCGGCCCTGGCTCTCCCCCATCAAAGCGGTGCCCCCCCGTGGGCCTGGGATGTGTACTGCGCGAACATTGTGCGCAGCTTGCGGAAGTCCTTCATCCACTCGGGCGCCTTCACGGCGAGCTTCTTCTTGTTGCCGTTGCCCTCGCCGGCGCCTCCTTTGCCGCTGGTGGCCTCGTTCCCAGGGCCGCCCGTCGCTGCTGCGGCTGCCTGCTTCTCCTCGCTGGACGCCTCGGCACCAGGGCGCGGCAGCGGAGTGCATGGCACGCTGGCCGCGCCATCGGCGCCAGGAGGTGGCTGGCCGCCGACGCAGCCCGACTCCATCCAGACCTCGTGGCTGGTCCAGCTCTGCTGCCACGTGTCCTCCAGCGAGTGCTCCACGTAGAGGTAGAATAGGCGGTCCGTCATGTTGCACCACTTCGTGAATATGCCCCCCATTAGCACTGCCTTCCCAGCACATGTGCATGCCAGCTTGGCACCAGTGGGCCCCCCGCCAAACTTCCACGCCAGCCTGGCCAGCGGCATGTAGACGCCCTTCATCGCCTGCTTCTTGCTGTTCGTCTGCGTCTTGCTGAACTCCCGCTTCTTCTGCCGCCTGTGGAACGACCACTTCGCCCACTCCTCGCGGACCGCCTTCTTGGCTGGGTAGCCCTTCGCCGCCAGGTACTTCTCAGACCATTCGTTCGATGTCTCCATCACTCTGGCCCATCTGCCCGCGATCGCGTTGCCCTTCTTCTTCTCCGTGCTGAACTTGAACGCCTTCTCCTCCAAGGACTCCCACATGAGGCGCTCCTCCCTGTCAAGAGCCGACTCCTTCGGGTCGGCGCCGACGTCGTCATCCAGAGGCTTCTCCGCGGTCTCAGGGCGCATCGCGCGCAGCTGCACGATCAAGGAGCCCTTGTAGAAGTCCTGGAAAGTCTTGCCCATCTCGTCCAAGTCCGCGCCCGTGTCGGATGCGACCAGCTCGTCGAACTTCTGCTTGAGCTTCTCCACCAGCTGCTCCTTGCTGACGCCGCAGTTGCCATCGAGAGGTGCCCGCGCCATCTGGTCGATGCTCGGCGCTGTCATCGCCTGATGCTTGTTGATGTGGCTGCTCTCGATTGGCTGCTGCAGGCGCTGGCCCACCAGCTGCGGCGGCGCCGTGAGCGGCCGCTGCGAGCGCGGATGCGCTGGCACGCGCTCCTCCGCGCGTGGCGGGCTCACGAGGCGATTACTCTGCCACCTCTTGGATTTCTTGGTCTCCACTTGCACATCGTCTGTCAGCGACCGCTTGAAGGATGGCAGCACTGGCGTCTCCTGCTCGTCCGAAGTCTGCTGCGAGAGCCCGAGCGGCAGCTGCGAGCCCGAGTCCGCTGGATTGTGCGATGGCGTGTCCGCCAGCTGCGGCGTCTCTGGCGCTGGTACCCAGCTCGCTGACCTCGGGCGCGACCTCGGCGAAGTCATGGCAATAGCTTGCAGCGGCTCCTCAGGAGACCAAGCGAACGCAACAATCACTGTGGTCATGGGCTCCTCGGGTGAGGAGCCCACCACTCGACCAGGTCATGTTGCTGTCCGTTTGGCCCTCCTGTCCTCGTCCGAATCGATCTGCTCCACCGGGGGCGGGGGCGGAGGCGGGCCAGGAGGCGTCCCAGGACTCGGGGCGGCCGGAGGCGGGGCTGGCCGTCCATGCGCCAGCTGCTCCTCGGCTGGCTGCATGCTCGCTGCGCGCTGCTCCTCGGCTGGCTGCATCTTCGATGCGCGCCGCTCCTCGGCTGGCGGCATCTTCGCTGCGCGCTGCTCCTCGGCTGGCTGCATGTTTGCGCGCTGCTCCTCGGCTGGCTGCTTCTCTGCTGGCTGCTCCTCGGCTGGCTGCTTCTCTGCGCGCTGCTCCTCGGCGGGCTGCCCATGCTGCTCCTCGGCTGGCGACGCCTTGGCGCGCAGGTGGTTCACCGCTGCAGCCGTGCCCTCGATGTACGGCAGCGTCTGGTCCAAGTCCAGGCGGTCGAACTCCTCTTGGATCTCCTGCTCCGCCATGGAGCGCTCGCGTGCCACCTGCATGGCCTCCTGCACCATGGTCTCGACGCCCTTGGTGCAGGACTCGACCTCTGTGTCCAAGCCCTCGACGGTGTCGACAACCGCCTGGGGCGGGGCAGCGCTGGGGGGAGGTATGGTGTAAACGTCATGTTCATCATCCTCATCCTCCTCATCATCATCATCATCATCATCATGGTCATCACCGTCATGCTTGTCATCCTCCTCATCATCATCATCATCACCAGCATCATCATCGTCCTCATCATCCACATCCTCGTACCCCTGGATCCGACTTGGGCTCGATTTGGGCCCGATTTGGACGCGCCCAAATCCGATCCAAATCGGCCCAACACTGCACCCACGCGTGCTCCACTCGGCACGCCCAGTCAGCGCGCGTGGCACCCGCCACATGCGCCCACGGGCGCCCACCAGGCGAAACCCCTGCAGACCCACCCAGCACTCGGAGCCCCACGACGCGCCCACGCACGTCCAGGAGGCGAAACTTCGGCGGGCCCAAGTCGGGCCTGCCCCCCTGCAGGCGGATTTCGGAATGGAAATGGAACAACTCATCCAAACTACCCCGCGTACCCCACGCACAGATGTGTGCATTTACAACACACTATATCATCTCTACGCATGTACGACGGTACGCCATGAACCTTATATACCTACACAATAAACACACACGTAAATGAACCCATACATTATTACATGAATGCATGAATAAATGAACATATACACATATAGATATTCGCCCGCTGGCCTTGTCGGGCTGGCTCGCGGCGCCCGCCGCGCGGGCCAGCTCGTCCAGGCCCGTCAGCTCCATCGCCTTGCGGGGACAAGACTGAAGGAGGAAGAGGATTTAGAGAAGGAATGCGATCATCAGAAGGTGGAGGAGTAGGAGCAGGAGGATGAGGAGGAGGCCAGCGCACCACGACGACGACGACGACGACGACGACGGCGACTGCGACGTAGGAGGAGGAGGAGGAGGAGTAGGAGGAGGAGGAGCAGGAGGAGGAATATGAGAACGGGGAGGAGGAGGAGGAGGAGGAGGAGGGGGAGGAGGAGGAGGAGGAAGAGGGGAAGGATGAAGATGAGGAAAAAGAAGAGGAAGAGGTTGATGAGGATAAGGAGGAAAAGGGTTAGGTATGATAGACATCTCCTGATCGCCCTCCCTCCTCCCCGTGTACTTCTCATTCCGCGCCTATCCTTAATCATTATTCCTCCTCATCTCCGTCCACCTGCTCTTCATCATCATTTCCTTCTCCTCAACCTCCCCCTCCTCCTCCTCCATCTCCTCCTCCTGACCATCGTCATCATCATCATCATCATCATCACCACCACCATCACCACCACCACCATCATCATCATCATCATCACCACCACCACCATCATCATCATCATCATCATCATCCTGGGGTGGGGGGTTAGACCCGTGGGTCGCCATTGGCACCCGCTGCATCCACTTGCGGATGTCGGGCCGCCGCGGCTCGGGGCTCGAGCTGGGGCCCTCCGACGAAGGGGGAGGGGTGGGAGGGGGGGAAAGATGAGCAAGAGGAGTAACAAGGTACTAGGAACTAGGAGACGAGGGATGACCCTGCTGCAGATCCTCCTGCTGCTCCTCCACATCCATCACTCCTCCTCCCGACGCGAAGGATCGACGGGATTACGGGGGCTCAACGCTGAAGAAACATAGCAAAACATGGCAATATGCATGCTATCCCGTAAGGGTCTTATTCTCTTAATTAGGCATGTTAGAAAATAAGAAGCTACATGCCCGATCTTAAATTAAGATCCTGCCGGCCTCTGGGTAGAAGGGTCTATCCATGCAGATCAATGACCCCCCCCCCCCCCGGGAAAACGCAAAACGCTTCCCCGGATTACAAGGCGCCCCCCCCAGACTACAAGGGCGCGCCCCCTCTCCCGATTGCAAGGGCCCTCCGCATAGAGGACCAACGCATCCTTTCCCTGGACCCCTCCCCGGACTACAAAGGCAACGCCCCGGACCTTAAGGGCCTCCCCCCCGGACTGCAAGGGTACCCCCCTCATAGTTCAATGCAATCACCCAGGGAAAATTGCCCCTCTCTGGATTACGGCACCACCGCTCCGGACAACGAGGCCCCCCCCCCCGAAGTACCGGGCGCGCCCAAGCATTTTGTTATATTTCACCTATTTTCATCGTTCTATTTTTACGAAAACGTGATTTCTATTTTTTCCTATATTAATAGGATGATGTGTTTTTATTTGTTCGATATTAATAGGGCAACGTGATTTCTTTTTTCCCTATTAATAGGAAATTAACTGCTGCGGCCTTGTCATTCGATTCCAGGATTACAATCCTCAGCACGTCTCCCGTCACGTTGCCCCTCGCCCTCCCGTTCGGCTTGGTTGGCGCCGTGAGCTGCCCCAGGCGCAAAGCTTCCGCCACTGGTCCTGGTAGCCTTGCCTGCGCCATCCTCGTCGCCGCGTGGTGCAGTAAGCCGCAGGCTTGCTCGTCTTCCAGTAGCGATTGCATGTGCGCGCCGGTCATGCTCGACGGGCCCGGGGCGGCGCCCCTGCGGCAGCCGAGGAGGTTGCGGAGGAGCTGGTCGGGCCCGAGGAGGATAGGCTCCGGGGCCCATGCTGCCAGGTCTGCTCTCAGCGGCTCCCGCGGTTCGGCGAGCCGCCGTGCTGGGTCCCGCAGCTCCGCCATCGCGGCCTCGGTTCCTGGCGCGATCGTGCTGGCCGTGAGGGCCTGGCGCGCCGCCGAGACTTTTCCTTGCTGTGCCAAGGCGTGCGCCCTCTCGCAGCGCTGGGCAAGCTCCTCGTCGCTCCCTGCCGGCGGCCGCCCGCGGTCTCCTCCGCGACGCCTTCGGGCTGGGGATGCTAGCAGGTGCCCCCAGTCGCCCGCCTCGAAGCGGGCGAACCGTTCCAGCAGCTGTTCTTTGGGCACCGTGCGGGCGCTGGGGCCCTTGCTCAGCAGCATGGTTGGGATCAGGACGAGGAGCTTCCAGCCTCGGAGCTGGCGCGCTTCGTTGGCCCCCCTGCGTGGATCTCCCTGAGCGCTCTGCGCAGCGCGTTGCGCAGGGGTCCTCGGAGGAGTGCTGGCGCGCTCCGCAGCGTGGCCACCCGCTGCCTCAAGGCCGCCTGCAAGTCCGACCCGTCCAGCGCCTCTCTCTCTACCCTGCGTAGCGCTTCCCTCTGGGGAGGGCGTCGGCCTCTCGGCCCCTGTGTTGCCCCTTCCGTCGTCGCCCTCTTCCTCTTCCTCCTCTTTCTCCTCCTCTGCCTCTGCGGCCCTGGGGGCTCCCGCCGCTGCGGGGGCGGGCGCTTGTGGTGGCCCGTGCGGGTCGGGGCTCGGGCCCGGGTCTGCTGTGCCGGCCTGGCCGTCGTCGCTGCCCTCGTTCCCTCCGTCGTTGCCGGGGCCTTCTCCCACCCCGCCGCCTCCTCTGCCTGCTCTGCCACCTCTTCGTCCTCGGCCTCCTCGGGCGTTCCTTCCTCCTCTGGCGCCTCCTCCGCTCGCGGCGGCGGGAGGGGCGGGTGCGGCTCGGCCGCCGCCCGCGCCGCGGGGCTGCGCAGTTCGTCCGCGCGTGCGTCCACACCCCTCGCGAGCACCAGGCCGCCGAACGCTTCGAGGATGAGGTCTTGCACCAGCGGCTGAATGTAGCCTGTGCTGCTGTGCGCCACAGCCTGGGCGACTGGCGCAAAGGGTAAATGCCTTGGGCGTTCTCCTCCGTCTGCAGCGAGCACTGCTGGTAGTTCCCTGGTCCGGGCGTCGGTGTGCGCGAGCATCTGGGCGAAGGGCCCTGCTGGCGCAGGTTCAGCAAGCCGCAGCGTCTCGACCGTCGGCTGCCACCAAGCCTGCGTGAGGCGGTGCTCTCTCCACTGCGCCCCTTCGCTTGGGTCTAGAAGCCCGGCGGCCGCCAGCAGCAGGGGCGCGTGCACCGCCGACTTGGTGCGTGCCTGGAGGGGCGCTTGCGGCGGGGCCCAGCCGGCGAAAGGGCTGTGCTTTGGCGGCCTCGCGGCGGCCCGCTCTGGCCCTGGCGGGGGGGCTAGCGGTGGGGCGTCGGCTGCGGCGGCCGGTGGGGTGGCAGGCGCTTCTCTTGTCCATGCTTCTGGTTCGCACCGACCGCGCCTCCATTCGCCTTCGGCCCACGTGCCCAGCCCCAGGCACCTCGCGCGCATCTGTTGGCCGCCCGGAGGCGCGATTGCGTCGAGAGCGCAGCGCGCCCTGCAACGCCGGCAAAGCCATGACTCCAGCCACTGTGTGATCCTCCCGCTGGTGTCTCGTGCTGCGATCTCCGGGGGCCATTCCATGCGGCGGTCTGGCACTTCGGAGAATTCGGGCGGCGGGCCGGGGCGTCGGCAGCAGAGCGCTCGGAGTAACGGAGGTTCGGGTGGTGGTGGTTCTTCGCCCCGCGCGTAACTCCCAAACCCGTTGTAATCTGGGGCGGCCTGGGCGCCGGTGCTGTGGGCTGGGGGCGGCGGTCGGTTTATGTCCACGCCCTGCGCCGCGCAACGCGCCCGTAGCTCAGCCGTGGTCGGAAGTCTGGCTCGGCACTGCGGGCAAGTTGTGGTTTCGCCCAGGTGGCGGGCCAAGTCAGCGGGGCAGCCCAAGTGGAAGTGGGCGCCGCAGCATGCCTCTTGTGCTGTTGTGTCCCTGCCTGTCCCGTCTTGCGGGATCTCCTCCTGGCACGCGACGCAGGTGTTGGCCTCGCCTGGTGGCGCTGGCGGTCGTTCGGGCGCCTTCTGCTGTCGCTCCTGCTGCCGCTGCTGCTGCCTCGCAACGAGCTCTGGCGTCTGGCTCCAGCTCGTGCTGTTGTTGCGGCGGCTGCGGCTGCCCCTCGGCTGCCCCGCGTTCTGCTGCTTCCCCCGCAAGGCGCAGGGCTGCTGGCGGCAGGAAGAGGCCCGAAAAGTCCCATCGCTTCCTTTCTGCCCCAGGAGGACCTGCAGGCAAGGCGCCGAAAACGCTTTCGAAGTGGTTCAGCTGCGGCGGCGGTGGCGGTGGTGAGGCCGACCGCCCGCCCGCTCGCGAGTCCGGCGTGGCGAACCTTTCCGGCGCCGACAGCGTGTGCGGCGGCGTCTCCGCGAGCGCTGGTACCGGGGCAGACTCCCCCGATCTGCGTTCCGGCGTGCCCGGCGGCTCGTCGGCTGGCCCGGGGGGGGCCTGGGTGGCTGGCTTCGCCGACCCGTTGTCCGCGGTAGCCGTAGAGCGCCTCCCGCGGACTACTCGCCAGTGCGCACTGCTCCTGTCGTGGTGGTGGCGGTGCTTGTGCTGGCGCTGGTGCTGGTGGCGGCGCTGCCGGTCGCTGTCGCGGTGCTGCTGCTGGTCGCTGTCCTGGCGGTGGCGTTGGTGTTTCTGCTGGTCGGTGTCGCAGGGTGTCGTCGTGGTGGTTTCCGTGCTGCTGCTGCTGCTGCTGCTGCTGCTGCTGGTGTTGCTGCTGCTGCTGGTGCTGGTGGTGGTCGTCGTTGTGGTGGTGGTGGTGGTGGTGGTGCTGCTGCTGCTGTTGGTCGTCGTGGTGGTGCCGCTGCAGCTGGTCGCGGTGGCGACTCTGCCGCTGGTGATGGTTGTCGTGGTGGTGGTGTTGCTGCTGATGTTGCTGCTTGTCGTGGTCGTGGTGGTGCTGCTGGTCGTCGTTGTTGTGCTGCTCGCGGCGCCACTGTTGGGAGTCGTACCTCCTCTTGTGGTCGAAAATGTTGTCGTGTTGCTCCTGTGGGCTTGCTGCGCAAGCGGGGGCGCCGCCGCAGCGGAGCCGCGCGAACCCCGGCTCTTCCCCTGGGGGGCACGGGCTGCAGCTGCTGCTGCTGCTGCTGCTGCTGCCAGGGGGGTGCCGGTCGCAGTCGTTGGCTGCGTGCTGTGGTGCTGTGGTGGTGCTGGTCGTTGGGTGCGTGCTGTGGCGCTGGTCGTTTGGTGAGTGCTGTGGTGCTGGTCGCTGGTGTTGGTCGCTGTGGTGCTGGTCGTTCTGGTGCTGTGTGCTGCTGCTGCTGCTGCTGCTGCTGCTGCTGTGGCGTTGGTCGCTGTGGCGCTGGTCGCCGCGGGTGCGTGCTGAGGTGCTGGTTGTTGGGTGCGTGCTGTGGTGTTGGTCGTTGCTGTGGTGCTGGTCATTATCGCCGCCGTGGTGCTGGTCTTGGTACTGTGTGCTGCTGGCGTGGTGTTGCTGCTCTCGTGGTCTTTCCCCCAGTGGTCGCTGTGGTGTTGCTGGTTGTGTGTTGCTGCTCTTGGGGCTGCTGGTCGCCGCCGCTGTGTTGCTCGTGGTGCTGCTGCTGGCCGCGGTCGTTGTCTTCGTTGTGGTTCTGGTCGTTGGGTGCTGGGGAGGCCGTATCGCTGGCCTCCCCATGGGCGTGGTTTGTAGGGGTTTGCAGCTCTGTCGTGGTAGTACTATTTCTACTACTGCTACTACTACTACTACGACTACTACTACTACTACTACGACTACTACTACTACTACTACTACTACGACTACTACTACTACTACTACTACTACTACTACTACTCATATTACTACTACTAGTACCACTACCACTGCTACGACGACTACTACTACTACTACTACTACTTTCACTACTACTACTGCTGCTATTACTAGGACTACTGCTACTACGACTACGACTACTACTACTACTACTACTACGACGACTACTACTACTACTACCACTACTACTACTAGTAGTACTACTACTACTACTGCTACTACTACGACTACTGCTACCACTACTACTACTACTACTACTACTACTACTACTTCTACTTCTACTACCACTACCACCACCACCACAACACACGCGCACCCACACCACGATAACCGCCACTACCTTTACTTCAACCGCCAACGCCACCACGACGACTTTGACCGCCACTTCTACCGCGACTGTTGCTATTGCTACTGCTACTACCATTGGCACCACCACTACTGCCTGTTTATATCAGTGCCACGGATACGATACCCACAACCCTATGCACATCGGGTAACACCCTTCGGGCCCCAAGGGCTTCCAATCCCACATAGGGCGATACTTGTGCACAGAACTACGGGCCTCCTCCGTCTCCTCCTCCTCGGGCTCCTCCACCTCCCATCCACTCCTCCACCCCGTGCTCCCCCACCTCCCCTCCAAAACTACGGGCCTCCTCCTTCGCCTCCTGCTGCTGCTGCTACATCCATAACGTAAGCCATTTTGGCTCAATGGCCCAACGGGTCGAGGCTTCCTTGTGCGAGTTAGAAGCCTTTCTCCAGTCAAGACCTGCTCTTCGCAGGCGGTTTGTAGACGATAACTTGACGCGGTCTGATATCATTTTCCTGGTATGTCAATTAGTGCCCGATGACGGACGCCGCGGCGTCCGCAATGAGCTGATGAGGTCTCTGTCGCCCAATGTCAAGTTGGCGAGTCTGGCAGAAAGATTCAGAGAATCGACGGGTGCCGCCTTCAATGAGCAGCACTTCGTTCGTTTGTACCACTTTTGCGACGGGCTCCAGCACTCCTTGGCGCCAGCCCCTGCTGGCCCACCTTCCGAGGATGATGATGAGAGCCTCGCCTTGGCCCACTTCGACCACCTGGGCCGGGGCGCCATGGCCATGCAGCTTCGACAGTCGATATTAAGAGAAGCAGCTTTGCGCAAGCAACTTGCAGCTGCGAACAAGCGTGACAATGCCGCGAAGAAGCGGCGCGTTGAACAGAAAGACAAGATAGTATCATTGCAGAGGGAAGTCAAACATACTGAATCAATAGTTAATTGGCGGCCTGGTGCCCGATGTGTATCTGCATATGGTGGTTTCTCCATCGCTCTTCGCCGTGCTCTGGGGCACGCACCCTCGCGGGCATCCGTGCTGATGCTGGCTGGCTCAGATGTTGCGGGAGGGTTCAAGCACAAAGACATTTGCAGTAATTTTGAGCTGAAGGCTCACATCGCCATGCAGATCAGATCAACCAGACGGAATGCAGACATATTGCGCATAGCGAACGAGACTCCCAATCTTGTACCCCCCGAGCATGCAGCACTGAATGGTCAAGACGGCCAGCCTGGCGACGATGCGTTGGCTTCTGACGGGATGGAGTTCGGGAATATGGTGAACATATCAGGGCATTCGCATCACGGCGACGCCACGAACCAGGAGGCGATTGAGAAGAGCAAGTTGCATCTCAGAGAGGTCATATCGGTAGCTGTCACAGCAGATTCGGTTCGTGAGGCCGCGCGCCTCGATGATTTCACGGCCTTGGCTGCTCCATGGAACCGCAGCCTCCCTGACCCCCAGGTTCCGGTGTCCAACCACGTGGGTACAAGTGCGCCTTAGATCGAAGGGGGCCCCAATTTCCCCCAGGCCCGCTAGCACGTTGTCATTGCCCCGTTCCTCGTCACAGAGAGGGCGCTTGTGCTTGCGTGGTTGGGTGGCCGAGAGGTGGTCAGCGCTGGGACTGGAGCAGAGCTGTATAACATGATGCTCAGAGAGTTTCGAAACGTTGGCTGCGAGCATTGGATGACCCCACCACCAGAGGGCACGGTCAAGCTGCATGCGATGCGCCTCGACCACGGACCTGATAACCAAGGGGCCACTGGATTCATAAACAATTGTTCTTCGGGATATGCCGACGACGATGTTCAGCGTAGCCTTCTGCTTTTTCCACCAGTGCCACCTCGTCGCTCAAGATTTGCTAAAGACGCTGGATGGATTCACGTGGGCGAATGCTGACTTCGGTCAGCCATATTTCTCGGCCCTGTCTATCATCTGCAACTGTTGGCGAACAGTTGGGCACCCCAAGAGGATCTACGACCGCGCGAAGCGCGATTTCGGCATTGGTGCGGCAGAGATGTATGCGAAGAAGATCCCCGCGCGAGCACTTAAAGGTAGTTTTTTTTTTTTTTTGGGGGGGGTGCGCTGATGCAGTCGAGACGTTGATTGACACAGGGTCGAACGTGCTGTCCGCCGTGTTCTCCAATCTCTTCAAGCCAGCCGCGGCCGCTGCGAAGGGGAAGGCGAGGGCTGCTCCAGCGCAACCTGGCGGTGACTTGGCGGACGATGATCGTGAGCGGAAGAAGCAATATACCCAGATTTCAGGTGCGTTGATGGGGTCTAACATGTTCCGAGCGACTCTCAGGATCAGCTTGATTGCGAAGGGGCCTCTGACTCGTTTCTTCAATTGGGCCAAGAAGCGGCGACACGAACTCTTCGTTAAACGGGCGGCCGCTGAGCGGGATGGCCATGCCCACTTTGGAGCAACATTCCTTTCGGACCTTGTTGGGTACAAAGCTGCAGAGAT